GGGGGCAGCGCTGGACGCTGGGCGGAGGTGGAGCGCTAAGGGGGGGGGGGTGTTTTTTCACACCCCTGAGTGCAGCAAGTGCAGCGCTGTGAATTGCCAGTGTAGCCAAGGCTTTAGACACTTCTTGAAAATTCTACCAATACTATTTTGGTTCTTTCTGAATTTCATAATGCTAATGACTAATTCTATGTGACTAGTAAACTTTCTGTTAAACAAAACCTATGTAAACTGGGAAAGCAGATTACTTCTGAAAATTAGAAAGGATTTTAGGAGACATGCACTGTATTTTTTCAGCCAATAAATATGGGACACAATCTGCCCTCAGATCTGTGCAGACAATTCCCATTTAAAAATCAGTGCATCCCTATAACTAGAAAGAGCACAGAGTTCATGGTTTTTAGTACCCAATTGCTGACAAGTCATTAAACTTTACCATAATATATATATTCTTTGCAATGTAAAGGCTGCATGATGATTGATATATACAGTGTTATTGTAGCCGGGTTGGTCCCAGGATATTTGAGAACAAGTGAGGTGAGGTAACATCTTTTATTGGATCAACTTCTGTTGGTGAGAGAGACAAGTGTAATCTTGAAAAGCTTGTCTCTCTCACCAACAGAACTTGGCCCAGTAAAAGATATTACCTCGCCCACCTTAATAGTTGGTATGTCATTTGTCTTAATGAATGGGTTGCTTTGATTTTGTAATAATTTTCTGTTGTATCTACTGTTCCCAATTTGTCACTGCTAGCAGGAAACTTTCATTCTTGAACTGTAACCAGATTTTACACATTTTGCATGTTTAGTTTTGTAATATAGTTTCATAGTGTGTTAGGTCAAAAGGACCATAACTGGTATGCAAGGACATCATTGGCCAAACCTCTTAAGTGCCAACATCAACAAAATTGTAAAATGTTCACTCTGCATTTTCATAGGTTAAAAAGTAGGCATTGGTGTTTGCTACATTTTTCTCTGTAATTCTGTTCATGAGAGTTAATATGTCAGTTTTTGTCTGGTTCACCTATAATGGTGTAATAGAGCTGGTCAATAATTAAATTAAAATTCTGAAAAATGTTGAAGGGTTCAAAGTGAACTGATTTTTGCAATTTTTTTAAAAAATTGCAGAAATAAGTATTCAAGAATATTTCCAATACAATTTTCTATGATTTTTATTAAATTCCAAGAAAATTTTCACATGGTGCATTTTTTTTTAAAAAAGTCAATGAGTTGTTTTGTTAAATTTTTAAATTTTGGATAAAATGACCATTTTTTTGACTAAACATTTTCTTTGAAACATTTTGGCCATCAGTGTAACATTTATGATAACATGAAAGTATTTATTTTTGTGCTCTAGATTCAGATGGTATCTCTGTAAGGAAGATACTTACATATTTGAGTTCTGCTAAATAGTAGGTGCTGATTTGATGATCATTGCTCCTTTGTCCTAATATAGTTTTTTGCATAGCCTGATGAGAAATTCATTACTAATTAAATAAAAATAATGTAAGCGTCAACTAAGAATTATAGATTAGTATGAATTTGATCATTTGGCTGCTGAGAATGTTGTTAAATCTTTTCTTGCCTATCACAAACACTACTTTGGATGCTGAGCAAAATTCCATACATGTGACATGTGGAGAACTGAACACCACTAATACATTCATCCATAAACTTGTGGGATAGTTGCTTTAATTGTCTCTAACACTAAATTGCAAATCTGCTTTTGTATTTAATTACAAACACATACAACTTCAACAGTAGCATACAGTTTAAATAGATGTTCTGGGTTTTTGCAGATAAATCGTTATGCAAATATCATTTAAGTCTCCACAGATTTAGGCCCCAATCCAGCAAAGATTTACACAGACTATTAGCTTGACATGGTATGAATAGTCCCATGCACTTCAAAGGGACTACTCTCTGTGTAAAGAGAGGTATGTGTATTAATTGTTCCAGGAGCAAGACCTTAGGGTATATCTAAGCTGCAACTGGAGGTGTAATTTCCCTCTTGGATAGATGTACACATGCTAGCTTTGATCAAGCTAGTGCACTAACAATAGCAGTGTGGCTGTAACAATGTGGGTGGCAGCACAGGCAATCCACCCACGTACAACCTAGTCTGAGGCCCAGCTAAGTATTCGAGTGGCTAGCTGAAGCCACCGCCTGTGCCGCTATAGCTACACTGCTATTTGTAGCCACTAGCTTGAGCAGAGCTAACACACAAACCTACCCAACCTGGAAACTGCAAGTCACTTACAGTACACACATACTCTAAGGGCTAGTGTACACTGGCAACTGCAGTGCTCTAAAAAAACCCACCTCCACGAGGGGCACAGCTCCCAGCACCGGTGAACTGTCTACACTGGTGCTTTACAGTGCTGAAACTTGCTGCACTCAGGGGGGGTGTTTTTTCACACCCCTGAGCCAAAAAGTTGCAGTGCTGTAAATTGCCAGTGTAGACAAGCCCTAGGATAGCATCAAGCCTAATGAATGTTGTGTAACCTTCTGTACTTACTGTCATACTTTATAGTAGTAAAAGTAAACTAGAGCATATGTATCGTTAACTACTCATTATTATGGTCAATTAGACATTCTGGGTCATGTGCATGTTGTCCCTCATTTACTGGCAGCCATATTGCATGGCTTTCAAAAGGATGTGTGACTAATATTTTGAAGTTTGCAAAGGCTGTTACTTCAGGTGTACTGTGTTCCATAGCCATTAGCCAAATACATACCTTTTATTATTTTGGTGCCTTACCATAACACAAATCTCTGCTATTGAAAAAGGAAGATGC